GAGGCAGGAGAATCGCTTGAACCCAGGAGGTGGAGGTTGCAGTGAGCTGAGATTGTACCATTGCACTCCAGGTTGGGCAACAGAGGAAGACTCTGTCTCAAAAAAAAAAAAAAAAAAAATTAGTGTAACAAATATTACGCTTTTGGTGTCCAGTTATATATAATACATATTTACTTATGCTTCAGAGCTGACATACCAAGTTTAGATTAGTAAAGGGCACTGGGAAATTATAATTGTGTGGATTTTACTCCTCACTCCACCTCTTCCCCGTGCATATATCTTATTTTTTTCACGCAATATACACTGTACTTACATAATTTATTTCCACTGAGATAGAATGCACATAACATTCACCATCTTTTTCTTTTCCTTTTCTTTCTTGAGACGAAGTTTCACTCTGTCATCCAGGCTGGAGTGCAATGGCGCAATCTTAGCTCATGGCAATCTCCTCCTCCTGGGTTCAAGTGATGCTCTTGCCTCAGCCTCCCAAGAAGCTGGGATTACAGGCATGTGCCACAACACCCGGCTAATTTTTTGTATTTTTAGTAGAGACGGGGTTTCACCATGTTGGTCAGGCTGGTCTCAAACTCCTGACCTCAGGTGATCCACCTGCCTCTGCCTCCCAAAATGCTGGGATTACAGACATGAGCCACCGCGCCCAGCCAACATTCACCATCTTAAACTGTACAGTTCAGTGGCTTGTGGTGTATTCACCATATTGTGCAACTATCACCGCTATGAAATTTTAGGACATTTCTATCAGGCTCATACTCCAGCCTGGGTGACAGGGCGAGACCCAGTCTCCAAAAAAAAAAAAAAAAAAGAATACTTGAAAAAATCCCACAAAGATACTAGTCAAATGCAGTAGTGAGAAGAGGGGAAGAGAGGGGAAGAGTAGAGTAAGGCATTGGATGCGTAACTGACTGTGAATAATCAATTGAGTTGACTCACTGCCTTCAGACCAGTCCCACCCAGCTTCTTAACTTCTGAACCCTCCAGTCAACATCATGTCAATGGCCAAACAAAATTTTTGAGCCAAGAAAAGATTTTACAGTATTCACTTCAGCAAGAGGAACAACAGGGTTAGATTATGGACTGGGTTGATAAACATCATCAGCTATAAATGTTAGAATTTTAAAAATACTTTTCTTCAGCTTGTAGGACTGAGTTTCTGAAACTTACAGAAATGTTCAAGCCTACAAAAATTACATGAACTCTTGTGTACTCATCAGCTAGCTTCAAAATTTTGTATGACTTTTTAGTCTAATTTTTGTTTGTTTGTTTTGAGACAGAGTCTCAAAAAAGAGTCTTGCTTTGTTGCCCAGGCTGGAGTGCAGTGGGGCGATCTTGGCTCACTGCAACCTCCGCCTCCCAGGTTCAAGCGATTCTTCTGCCTCAGCCTCCCCAGTAGCTGGGATTGCAAGCGCCCACCACCATGCCCACCTAATTTTTGTATTTTTAATAGAGACAGCATTTCCCCATGTTGACCAGGCTGGTCTCAAACTCCTGACCACAAGTAATCCGCCCGCCTTGGCCTCCCAAAGTGCTGAGATTACAGGCATGAGCCACCATGCTACAGCCAGTCTAATTAAAATTATTAGTAATAAGCCCATCTGGTTAATAGAAAGTTCTATTTTTATGGAAAGCAGTTGAGTGGGAAAATGTGTTATTACTATCACTCATTCCATTATCTCTCTTGGAATATAGTCTACTTGGATCACAAGACCAAATTGCCTAAAAAGAAATAAGGAACCTTGGGTTGTGTAAAAACTCAAGCTGTCTTGAAGCCCAGCCCTTTGATTTTTTGGGAGTGAGAGATGCCCAGGCCAGGACATTGGCCTCTGTGGCCTTTGATTTACCGTATTTAAATGCCGATTCCAGAGCAGCCCTCAGACAGTTCGCTTTGGTACGTCTTGGTACATTGGAGAGGCGCCCAGGAATCTGCATGTCTGATAGGGCCTCCAGATTGACTGGAACTAATCCCCCATGGACCACACTTTGGAAAATAGTTCTGTCTCACAATCCCGGACCTGTAAAGTGATAATGAAGTTTATCATGGTGTTTTAAGTCACAGAGCACTCCCAACTAGCAAATTCAGCTGGGTTCGTTACTTAATTAATGGTTTTTGGGTTTTTTTTTTTTTTTTTTTGACACAGGGTCTCACTCTGTCACCTGGACTGGAGTGCAGTGGTGCAGTCTCAGCTCACTGCAACCTCCATCTGCTGGGCTCAAGAGATCCTCCCACCTCAGCCTCCCAAGTAGCTGGGACTGCAGGCATGCACCACCACACCCGGTTTTGTGTTTTTGTAGAGACGGTGTTTTGCCATGTTGCCCAGGCTGGTTTCAATCTCCTGAGCTCGAGTGATCAGCCCACCGCAACCTCCAAAAGTGCTGAAATTACAGGTGTGAGCTACCGTGCCCAGCCAGTTAACAATTGCTAATCATCAGAGACAAAAAGGGAAAGGTCAATTTTTTATAGCAGCATTTTTAATATTTTTGTGAATTCAGAAATGCTGATGGATTGATTGCTGAGTGTGCAGGGGGATTCTATGCCCCCTCAGTGCCAGCCTCTGAAGCCCCCTGCACTTGCTTCTCAGTATACGGCATCAGCCGTTTCTCTAGAGATCGTGGTTTTCGTGCTGGAAGTTATTACTCCCTGATGGGAAGTGAGTTCACTTAAGTACCATGTTGTTTAAGTGCTTTTTGTGATCTTTGACCTCCAGGTTCACACATGCATCTCTGTGCATTAGACACAGTGGACTTTTTTCCTTTTGGAAAAGCTGTGCTTCCTGAGAACTATAGGGAAACTGTTTTCTTGAGGGCATGGGAGGGGTTACAGAGTTGATTGTGACCCAGGCACAGCCCTGGTGCTGTCGATGACGGCAGAGACTGTGTCTCACTCATCTTCGAGTCCTCCGGTGCATCCTGCACACGGCCTGGCACCTTGTCCTAGGGCCAATGAAAGGGGATGCCAGCTTGGAAGAGAGCTGCTGGCTCATATGGAACAAGGTTGGATTCTTGTGGGTTTGGTCTGCATGGAGGGTAGTGGCGGTGGTGGGGAGGGTCTGTTCTCCCTGACGTCCACTGGGGCCTCTGCCAGATGCTGGACAGAAGAGTAGTGTCTGTGGGCCCAGCCAAGTGGAGGGACTCCAGAAGCTTTCAGCTCTGCGGAGCTTTGTAAGAGGGACAATGAGTTCCTTCCTGTCCCTGAAAGGCCTTTCAGGGCTATGCTGCATGATGGGATGGGCAAGCCCTGGGGCCTGGCTACTTTAAAGAAGTAGGCTTGGTTACAACATAGATCGAGCCCTACAATGTCTGGTGCTGAGTTGCTGGGTAGGGGGACAGCTGAACTCCATGGACAGGCCAGAGCTCCATGTTCCTGTCCACCCACACACACACAGTTGGCAGATGTGTCTGTTCCTTTCCTTGCTCCCTCAGCTTTTGGTTTCCCCAGCCTCCGTCTTGTTCATTTGTTACCCATGTGCACTCTCCTTTTCTTTTTCTCTTCCTCTCTGGCTTTCTTCCCTTCCTCTCCTTGTTCTCAAGAGCTGCCTGCATGTCTTGAAGTTTTGCCCTTTGATTTCTCCGGAGGGAGAGGATGCCCAGGCCAGGACATCAGGCAGCTGTCCCATCACCTAACAGGGAAATGATCCTGGGAAATAGGGTAGGAATCTTAGAAACTGGAGAAGGAGTTGGGAGGGGGCTTCCCTGGAAAAGTAATGTGAATACCCAGTATCTTGATATGCCTTGAGCTGTAGTCAAGGAGGTGGCTCCCCTCCACTAGGGAGGACCAGCTAGCTGGTGTTCGTGCCTTACAGAAGGACTGCGTGGCCCATGCTGTTGGCCTTCTCTGATGGGCCTCATCTTGCCAGCACCTTCACCTGAGCCATGTCCATTTATGCTCGTGTTGAGAGACACTTCTTCCCACAGAGTTCTGGAGGGACTTGCTATGAAGCAATGAAGTTTAATCAGTTACTTCAGTTTATATGGGGGTCAGGCACCAGAGTCTTCAACTGCTACTTCTGAGCTGAGGCTGCTGCCTTGGTGACCACACAGGCCTTGCTATTTGGGGGGTTTAAGGAACTCAGTGGGATTCCTGGGCTTGCCAAGATCATCTCCTGGTGTTCCTCAGACCAGACAGATGACCTCGTGACTGGGTGTTTCTTCCTCCTCAGTTTGGAGGAGCTGGGAGGGGCTCCCCATGCGGGGCTCTGCAGACAAGGGCAGTGTGGGTTTACACCCAGCGTCAGGGTTCGCAGAAGGCTAGAGTATCCCTGTTGAGACAGTTCCACTTTGGTGTGTGGTTTATGTCTTGTGTCAAATAAAAGGGCAACTACTTTCTTCTTTGGGGACTATTAGCTCATCACAGTGGTTCTTAGAGAGCCTGAAAAAGCATTGGGTCTTGTTGTTACTTATGTTTTGCTTTCTAAGTTTGTATGTATTCTTAAAATTTTTGGTGAACTTAGCTAAAAGATATATACAAAGATGGCCAGGCGCAGTGGCTCACGCCTGTAATCCCGGTAGTGATTACAGAGGCCAGGAGTTCAAGACCAGCCTGGCCAACAAGGTGAAAAACCATCTCTGCTAAAAATACAAACATTAGCTAAGGATGGTGGTGCACACCTATAATCCCAGCTACTGGGGAGGCTGAGGCATGAGAATCACTTGAGCCCAGGAGGCGGAGGTTGTGGTGAGCCGAGAGCATGCCACTGCATTCCAGCGTGGGCAAGAGCCAGACTCTGTCTCAAAAAAACAAACAAATGAACAGAAAAGATATATACAAAGAGGGTGGCATGAGTTCTGAATCCGGGTGGACCTCGGGATTGCACCCTTGCTCTACCTGCTAGGCCAGGGATTTCAAATTGTGTGTTCTTTCCACCCCCTGCTCCTGGGTGGAACCTATCAGGGATAAATGGTTTGGAGTGTGGGCCTAGATTTGCTCCCCTCCGAGGGAGGCCCTGCTGTCGTGGCTCACTGGGTGTGCATCCCTGTCCCCCCAGGAGACCTGGAGCTCCCCTCGGTGCTGACATGATGACAGTGTGCAGGCCGGCCAAGGGCAGCCTCAGCCAGACTGAAAACCTGAGCTACAAATTGGCTGACAAGTAAGAACACTTCTCCCCTGAGAGTGTAGACGCTGGCCCAGCTTCTTACTCTCTTACCACCTTTCCTTCTTCACCGATTCTACTTCCTTGAGCTAAGGAGCTCTTTTCCAGGTCATTCTAATGAGCCTCCTGCAGGCTGTCTCCATGCACTGCACTCATTTAAGGCTTCAGGCCAAAGTGGTCAAGAGAGAGTCTGACTAATGGCCCCGTGTGTGGAGAGGATGATCCCCCGGCAACTTTAGCCCTATCCCCATGATGCATTCCAATTCCAGGTGTATTTTTCTAACTACTAGGATGTTCAGGTATTTTAATTATGTTTGAGTCCTAAGTCTTTGCAGCTGTACCTGTCCACAGTCAGTTTTCCCATCTAATATCAGCGTGCTTGTTTCCTTCTCCCCAGATGGAGCCCTTTCTCTGATCCTCTCACATTCCACAAAGCAGTTGGCAGCCACTGAGGGGTTCTCAGCTCTGCGCCCCAGGCTGGAACCCCTTATGGGGCGAGAGAATCCTGGAAACAGGAACTCTAGAAACTCTTGGGCCGGCAACCACGTGGAGCAGGAACTCTGTCCTTGGGGACTCGTAGGGCGGATGCGGCATCCTTGCCTCTGTTGCATGAGTTTTGTAAATCCAGTGTGAGCTTTTAGTAAGCCATCGTTTGTTCCTCTGGAGTTTTCAGACAGTTTCCATGATTGTGACGTCACTCCATGTGTTTGGGCTCTTAGACAATAACTATGATACTTACAATAATAATAGTTTCCATTTGTTGATACCGAGATTTAGAATGTATGCTGTACTTTGGGCATATTACGTGTTAACTCATGAATTCATTCATTCATTGAATAAATATTTGTTGACTAGTTGCTATGCACCAGACACAGTAAACAACATAAATGTGGCCTCTGACTCATAAAGTTTCAGTCTGCAGAAGGAAGATGAAAAACTTAGGATTCAAGACTCAAGTCCCTCAATTCCAAAGCCCATGTATTTAACTAGGCAATAGTGCCTCACAGCACATAGGACATTAATAACCATGTTGTAGATCATCAGTCATCCCCATGCAGGCACTAACCTGGATTGTTGTGTTTTTAATGTGTGTGTCTGTCTCTCTCTTCATCTTGCCTCTAGCACCGTGAGAGCAAGGACTATCACTTCTGCCTTTTGAACCCTCAGTGAAATAACACACTGATTCTGACTAAAATCTGAATCCGTGCTAACGTCCCCAATGGTGACGGAACAATTTAAAAATATTTTCTCTTTGTAAACACACTGTTTTGAACCCTCATTGTTTATTTAAACAAGGAATTCTGCCTTGATAGCCATATTTAAAATAGGAAAATGTGTTTGCCAAAAAAATGTGTTTGCATTTTCACAAGTTTCTAATTTATGCCGTGCAACCAAGAACTGTGGCGTAATTTATGTGCTAATGTCTCCACTGAGGAAGAGGTCTTTACACAAACAACCTTTGGAATAGAAAGCTGAATAGTAACAGGATGCATGAAATTGCTACTTATTCATCCCCCATGGTGAACCTTAACTGGAGTTTCAGAATTTCCATGTGGTCAGATCTATACATTCAGAAAATAGGCACCAGGAGGTGTTAGCTAGTGTCGGCACATCTAAAGTCACTGTGCCCAGTCATAACCTTTGCTGGTGGAAGAATGTTTGCGTTGGAAAACACAAATACTCTCATTTTTGTTAGACTAATCTAAAAATGTTTTCCTTTCAAAATGATTTTTAATATCTTCATGGCATTACCTAATCTCCTAAAATTACATTTGGAAGCATATATCATTACATATATTTTCTAGACCAGAACTTTCTTCAGTGACAGAAATATTCTTCTTTCCCATCCAGTACAGTAGCCATCAGCCACATGGCACTTCTGAGTCCTTGACATGTGGCAGGTGTAACTGAGGAACTGAAGCTTGAATTTCATTGGATTTAAGGTTAAATAGTCACGTGTGGCTGGTGGCCACTCTATTGGTGCATTTCTAGGCCAAGTGTGAAGTCTGAATCTGCCTCTTTATTCACACATTCATTCATGCACCAGATATTTACTGACCACCAACTCTCCTGGGCATTGTTCTGGGTGCTAGGGATGCAGACTTGGCCACAACAGGCCAAAATAACAGAACAATCCCTGTTCTGGTGGCAAGGCTCATGGAGAGCTCACTCTAGTGAGGCTCCATTCCCGAGGAGGTTCTGTTCAGATGCACCCAATCATTGTGGCTTTGCCCACTTGAATCAGGCAATTTGTCAAGTTCAGGGGTAGCACAAACTTCATGACGTGTGATGTTGTTTTAGTTTTTAAATAGTCATTGCAAAGAACTGCCTGCGAATACAAAAAGCAAGAAAAACAGCATATGTAATCTTTTACCTCATGAAATTACTCTTATTTTATTTTTATTTTTATTTTTGAGACAGTCTCGCTCTGTCGCCCAGGCTGGAGTGCAGTGGTACAATCTCAGCTTACTGCAATCTCTGCCTCCCGGGTTCCAGCAATTCTCCTGCCTCAATCTCCTAAGTGAGTAGCTGGGATTACAGGGCCTGCCACCATACCGGCTAATCTTCGTATTTTTAGTAGAGATGGCGTTTCACCGTGTTAGCCAGGCTGGTCTCAAACTCCTGACCTCGTGATCCACCCGCCTGGGCCTCCCAAAGTGCTGGGATTACAGGCGTGAGCCACAATGCCCGGCCCATATTATTATTATCTTCATTTTACAGAGGTGGAAACTGAGATTTAGAGGACTTAAACAACTTGCCTAAGGTCACGTGGCTGAATTAGGATTTAAACCTAAGCCTATTTGACTCCAAAACCTGATTGCTCCTTCATTTCACCTTGCTGTCTCCCCAAGAAAAACACAGATTGATGGTTTAAAAAATTTTTTTTGTAGAGATGGGTGTCTTGTTATGTTGCCCAGGCTGGTTTTGAACTCCTGGCATCAAGTGATCCTCCCACTTCAGCCTCCCAAAGTGCTGGGATTACAGGCGCGAGCCACCGTACCCTGCCCACAAAGTGATTTTTTTTTTTAAATAGGGATTTCAATGTTTGTGGTTTGTGACTTTCATATAACATTTATATCTAAGTTCTAGCAAATCTCTGTGACCAGCCAAGAACAATAAGAATCACTCACCTGGTGTTTGTCTTTCTTGTGCAGGGTCAAGGTGGAAGGTCCAAGGACTGAGAAAGACCCTCAAAGGCATCGCTTAAGTCCTCCATTCCTTTCCTAGAGACTGATCAGGAGTTGGGCTTCAGAAGGAGCCCCCTGGAAGGGCTCCGCAACCTCACGCTAGAGTCAAGAATGGATATGTTCAGCTTGGATATGATCATCAGTGACCCAGCTGCGGAAGCCAGCAGGGCTGGGAAGAAGCAGCTCGGAGGCGTTCAGAACCCTTGCTCATCTGCCAGAGCCGGACCCCGGCACAAGTCCCTCAACATAAAGGACAAGATATCAGAATGGGAAGGGAAGAAAGAGGTGCCCGCTCCTGCACCCAGCAGGAGAGCAGATGCACAGGGGGATTATCTGACGTCCTGTCTGGTGGAGAGGAGGAGTAGTGATGGGGTGAGAACTCAGGTCACAGAGGCTAAGAATGGAATGAGGCCAGGAACAGAGAGCACAGAGAAGGAGAGGAATAAAGGAGCAGTGAACGTCGCGGGACAGGACCCAGAGCCGGGGCAAGGCCTAAGCCAGCCAGACCGGGAAGTGGATCCTAGCTGGAGCCGAGGCCGAGAGCCAAGACTTGGCAAGCTACGCTTTCAGAATGATCACCTCTCGGTGCTGAAGCAGGTCAAGAAACTCGAGCAGGCTTTGAAGGATGGGTCGGCAGGGCTGGATCCTCAGCCGCCAGGAACTTGTTATTCCCCACACTGCCCACCTGAAAAGGCAGAGGCGGGGCCCACCCTTCCTGAGAACCTGGGAGGCGGGAGTGGCTCGGAAGTCAGCCAGAGGGTCCACCCCTCCGACCTGGAAGGCAGGGAGCCTGCCTCTGAGGCTGCGGAGGACAGGAAGGGCTCGTGCAGAAGGCCCTGGGACCGGAGCCTTGAGAACGTGTACAGGGGCTCGGAGGGTTCCCCCACAAAGCCCTTCATCAACCCTCTGCCAAAACCCCGGAGAACGTTCAAACATGCCGGAGAAGGGGACAAAGATGGGAAGCCTGGCATGGGCTTCAGGAAAGAGAAAAGAAACCTGCCTCCTCTGCCCTCTCTACCTCCCCCGCCTCTGCCCTCCTCTCCCCCGCCGTCCTCTGTGAACAGAAGACTGTGGACTGGGAGACAGAAGTCCAGTGCAGACCACAGGTAGGTGCCGGTGTGGCAGGGCAGAGCGTTGCCACCTGGCTCTCTCAGTGGTTTATGTCCCATCGTAACTGTCTGTTCTCAGCTGAATTATTTGTTTTATTAAACTGATGGATCTTGTAGTCCAGATGGTTCATAGCTTAAGATACTTTGTTAATTAACCTGGAAACTTGGTAACTGATGCATGTATTTTGTGTTTGTTCTCAGTTCTCAAAAAATAAGAGTATTTGATTTTAAAAATTACCCTTTAGATGTAATAAGGACTTGGAATTGGGACAGTAACCAAGAGTTAAATGAAGGACTCATGGTAACCCTGGCAGTCTACAACCTGGTAGTCCCTGCTAACTACCAGTGCTTGAATTTTTCTTGGTATGGGCTTTAGAAACACACTGCCTGGAGTCTACACTGGCCCTATCAGTGTCTATCTATGTGAGCTTAAACAAGTTATTTAACCTCTTGAAGCCTCAGTTTCCTCGTTTATACATATAGATGCACACGCTGTGAATATTTTATAACGTTAAAATAACACATTAAATAATAAAGCATGTTGATGCTTAAAAATAAAATCTGTGCTTCGAAAACAATTTTTCTGTTTTGCAGCTTAATCTCTAGTCCATTTCTGTAACATGGTACTTGGTTTGATACCCACTAATCTAGAAACCAGCTTTAGAGCAATCTTCTCAGGACAGTTGTCGTACTCCCTTTCATCATTTCACCTCCTATTTTCTCCTGACCCACTCCATTGAGCTTTGGGAACCTCCTCCTGAAACTACCCTGTCCCAAGGCCACCAGTAACCTCCATCTTGCTAAATCCAATTGCCAGTTCTTTGTTCTTTTCTTAATTGGCCCCTCTCAGTATTTGAGGAACACCTGTTGACTCGCTCCATCTTGAAACACTTCCTTCATTTGGCTTCTGGGTCACCCACGTCCCTGGAAGTCCTGTTTCTCTGGCTTTTCTGAGTTCCATTCTTTTTTCCTTCTGTCTGTCAGAGCACACCCCAAACCTATCCCCACCTCAACCCAGGGCCAGACCTGAGACTTTTCTTCTCCGTCTACACTCACTCCCTAAATGATCTCATCCAGTCCCATGGCTTTCAATGTCAGTGTCATGTTTATGATTCCCAGATGGAGGCATTCAGCCCCAGCTCCCTCTCCCAGCTGAAGGTTTGTGTAGTCATCTCCTGCTCAGATCTTCATTTGCTCATTCGTACTTAACATGTCCAAACCTAAATTCTCCATCCAGGCTGCCAGTAACCACCTCCTCTTACAATAATTGTCATCCTACTAAATGGCTTCACCCTTTGTTTAATTGCTTAGGCCACAAACCTAAAAAGTCACCTTCAATTCCTATCTTTTTCACATACCCCCTCCTAATTTATCCCAAATCTGCCTATACCTCCTCCACTGCTACCATCTTAATCATCTTGGATTCACCTCCCACCCCCAGAACATTCCTCCCTCAGCAGCCAGAGGAGTCTTCTAAAAATATAAACTATAAATTAAATCCTGTCACCCCCCACTCAACATGGTCTGTCATGTAAGATGATTCTTTTGGCTGTAAATAGCATAATTTCTTACGTTCTCTTCAAGGGGGAAAAAAACTTGTATATTCTAGAATTTATTTACATATATATGTGTATATATATGTGTAAATATATATAAGTTATTCCCAGTTTACAAATAATGCTGTCATAAGGAGCATATAGTATTACTAGTTTTGCTACTTACTAGCTGTGGGACATTGGACAAGCCACTAAATTTGTGTTGGCCTCATTTTACCTACCTGTAAAATGGTGATAATTATATTATAGTAACCACTTCACAGAGTTGTTGTGAAGATTGAATGAGTTAACATGTGTAAACATAAACTTAGTACAGAGCCTCTTCAATATGTATTAAGTGTTTTATTTTTCTATGGCTCCATTCTGTTTAATTAATCAGGCTATATCTTTTTCAGTACCAAACTATTTATTTTAAATTCATAATGTATTATTATTATTGTTATTATTATAATTATTATTATTTTGAGACAGAGTCTCGCTGTATCACCCAGGCTGGAGTGTGGTGGCATAATATCAGCTCACTGCATCCTCTGCTTCCCGGGTTCCAGCAATTCTCCCACCTCAGCCTCCCAAGTAACTGAGATTACAGGGGCACACCACCATGCCTGGCTAATTTTTTGTATTTTTAGTAGAGGCAGGGTTTCACCATGTTGGCCAGGCTGGTCTTGAACCCCTGACCTCAAGTGATCTCCTGCCTTGGACTTCCAAAGTGCTGGAATTACAGACATGAACCCCATGCCCAGCCCATAATGTATTTTAATATCTAGCAGGGCTTATAGAAATTTATAATGTTGCTAATAATTAGTTGATCCTCTTGGACTTCCTATATATAACATCATGTCATATGCAAAAAATAATAATCGTTTTGTCTCTCTCCTTTTTAGTAATTATAAACCTCTTATTTGTTTATTTACTTATTATTCACCTTTTCCAAAAATGTCTTGAGTGTTTCTGCCTGTATTTTTCTGAATATTCTAAATATTACTATCAAATTTCACATACACAAAATATGTGGCGTTTTTGTTATTAATATATAATTATTTGGCATGCTGTGTATTTGCTACGTTTATTTCTAAGTCTTTTCTCTTTTTAATGCAATGGTTAATGTAGTCTTTTTTCTCATATGGTCTTTGTATTTAAGAAAACTACTTATTTTGTGTGTGTGTGTATATATATATATTTTTTAAGACGTCTTAAATTTCTTATCATTTCTAATAGTTGATTCTCTTGGGCTTTCTATGAATATAACTATATTGTCTAAAAGAATCATCATTTTACCTTTTTCTTTTTAATTTATACCTAATTTTCTTACCAAATTGACTGGCTGAGAATTCCGAACAGTGTTAAATCATAGTGCTGAAAGCAGTGTGCAGCCCTACTTCACCCCTAACTTTAATGGTAATGCATCTAGAGTTTCACTCGCAGGCACTCTTATTTGAGACACGTTTTTACATTATCAAGTTAGTGTCCTTTTATATTTATTTTTTAACTTAGAGTTTTAAAAATTAGGATTAGAGATTAGATTTTTGTTAAAGTACTTTTCAGAAACTCCTGATGATCATGTGATTCTTCTGCTCTGATCCATTCATAGTGAATTTATATCTTAATACTAACCCATCCTTAAATGTGGGGGATGAACTCCCATTCGGGCCTGGTTGTTTATTCTTTTAATGTACTACTGAATTTTATTTGCTAATATTTTAAGATTTTTGGATCAGTAAATAAATTGGACTGGTCTATACTTGGGTTTTATTGCACTATCTTTTTTTTGTACAGAATACATACAGGATGATTGCACTACCTTTACTAGGTTTGAGTGTCAGTGTTACGTGAGGTCTGGAGAAGAACTTAGATGCTTCCTTCTTTATGTTCTGAGAAAATCTGAATCCATCTCCAATAATAAATCCTTTCTCCAGCCACTGCCAAAGCCCGGGTCCCCGAGCACTCCCATGACTTTGCTGCTCCTGCCCAGTGCTTCCCACAGCAGCCCTTCCACGCCCCTTCTGGCTGTTCCTCCAAGGAGGCCCCACAGCCCCAGGGACAGGTTGGTTCTGGGAAACTGGAATCCTTCATCTGTGTCATCACTGGGCAGGCAAGTCAACCTGGGGAACAGTTATTCCCATTATCTTTTCTCTCTTAACTACCATCTGTGCTTTTCAGTCTTCCAGCATTTTCTTTATAACCAGCTAAAGTTACTTATTTCAGTCCAAAGATGAAATTTTTCTTGGCCAGTTTGAATATGGTTGCATCAGCTGTGTTTTAACAATTTTGGCTTTGGGTTTTTCATTTTGTTTAAAATAGTACAATGGAGGTGATTAGGGCAAGATGTTCACTTTCTACTCTTAAAAAAATCAAGTATGCTCTTTACTGTGGTCCTATCTCTTAAAAACAAAAAGGCCTGTACCACGAATTTGGCAGACGCACCACCCCCTCTGAGGGAGGAAAGCCAAACCAAGGTTGAAGAAAGAAATGATTAAGGATTTAGAGGTTATGAGGGTTTAGAATTTCATGGCCAGGCTGTGTGTGCCTTAGAGAACGTACTCAGCTTATTTTCATAGGCCCATTAGTTCACCTCCTTAAGAGTAAAACCTGTGGCTTCAGAGCCTCGGTTTAAGAAAGAGTATTTTTCTTAGGCCGGGCGCGGTGGCTCAAGCCTGTAATCCCAGCACTTTGGGAGGCCGAGACGGGTGGATCACGAGGTCAGGAGATCGAGACCCTCCTGGCTAACATGGTGAAACCCCGTCTCTACCAAAAAAATACAAAAAACTAGCCGGGCGACATGGCGGGCGCCTGTAGTCCCAGCTACTCGGGAGGCTGAGGCAGGAGAATGGCGTAAACCTGGGAGGTGGAGCTTGCAGTGAGCTGAGATCCGGCCACTGCACTCCAGCCTGGGTGACAGAGCAAGAGTCCATCTCAAAAAAAAAAAAAAGAAAGAGTATTTTTCTTTTTCTCTTCCCATTTCTCTCTCTTCTTTTTTCTTTTCTCCTCTTCTCTTTCCTTCCCTTTTCCCTCCTTTCCTCTCTCCCTCTCTATTTGCTGTCTTCTCTCTTCTTTCTTCATTTCTCTAAAGCCCCAGGAAATTAAATGCAAGGACTCAGGCCTTCAATCCTAAAATGGAAAATGAGAAACCCTCAAATGTCAGGAAATTCCAAAGATAAGGTTCCTACAGCAACATTAACTTGGTTCTATGTGTTTTATGGCATACATTTAATAGCTCTGGCAAGAATGCCTTAAGGCCAACGTATAACAAGAAAAGTTCCTACTTTTTAAGTGTGAGCAGCATCTTGAATTCACATGTGTCTACATACTCAAAATGTCTTAACTGGAATTCAGATTTTTAAATTTTTGTTTAACTTGGTCATGTGACAGCTTGTAGATCTTTATGAAACCAAATAACTGCATTGACCAAAATTTCAACTTTTCAGCTGATTGTTTTGGCAC